CCGCGCCCCATCCCCCCAGGGCCAGCACCCACCTGACTCCGCGAACGTGATGATCTCCGAGGTCTGCTCCATAAGTTCATTCATTTCTGCCCTTCTGCCGATGTCATCCTCTATCTCCCCGTAGCCGTTCTCCCCGACTTTGCCCACATGAAGCTTTCTGATCGCGTTCAGAAGCGCCGCCTTGGGTACCGGCTGGGTGACATCGGGTCTCTTCTTCAAGTGCAGCATGTTTAAAATGTGCTTCTTGACGGCCTCCACCATCTCCGGCTGAGAGTTGGGTACGTCCTTTGGGAGGGTGGCCAGCGCACAGGACGGGCAGTCGGGGGTTGCACTGTGCCCCTCGGATCCCGGGGTGGGGGAACTCCTCACTATAATCCAGCAACTCGCCAACAAAAATCCTCGCAGCCAAAGCAAGGGCATCCTGGCAGCAAAAGTTGTTGTGATTGCCCTTTTTAAAGGCTCTGCTTTTCCTCCCCCCCACTCACGCACAGGTTTTTGTTGTTTGTTTGTTTGTTTTTTCCTTTTTGGGTTTTTTTTTTTTTTTTTTTTTTTTTTTTTTTTTTTTTCTTTTTTGTTTTTTTTTTTTTTTTTTTTTTTTTTTTCTTTTCCTTTCTCCTCTTCAGTCAATTCTCTGGAACAAGAACAAAAAGTTTTCTGTGAAGTTTTGTTTGCAGGTTCCCTCTCTGAATGCAGTCAGTGCTGTAGGTTTGTAGCTGTCAGGGAGGAGAGCTCTGACTGTCTCCCAGTAAAAGACAAGGAGGGAGGGAGGGAGGGAGGGAGGGAGGGAGGAAGGAAGGAAGAAAAGAAAAGAATACCTCTAGTGTCACTTGGTCAAGAAAAGTGGGAAAGGCAGTTACATGATTAAGGCAAATTCATATTAAAAGAACCAGGACCCTACAAGAATCTGATACAAAGGGGTAATACTACTACACTGAACGGAAAGACTTTCCTTCCAAGGAGGGGAAAGAGAGACAGAGGGAGAGAGAGGGAGTGATTGGCCCTAAGTGAGTGAGTGAATGAGAGAGGGAGGGAGTTTGTCTGTGAGTAAAGGCTGTGCTTAGGAAGGGGAGGGACAGCCCTTTCTGACAGGCTGCCTGCCTTCTACTCACTGCTCCCTCACACACACCTCTCTTCAAATATCACCGATCTCCTCTGGAGTTCTACTTTGCCTTCTGCAAGAAATTCTCCTGATTTGCTGCTCTTGCTGTTGCTTCTTTCCCCTTTCTTTCTCTGCCCCGTCCCCTGGCTTCACCTTCCTCTTTTGCAGGGGAAAGCAAAGCCCCAATCCATGGCCTGTCTCCATCGACAGGGACAGGGAGGACCACACGGAAACAGCCTGCCCCCAGCACCCCTCCATCCTGCCCGGCCACAGCCTGGAAGGTGGGGCTCGGAAGGAGGGGTCACTGGGGGCAGCCTGATCGTGCTGGCCAGAGGGAACCCCTGCAGACCCTCCTTTTCCCCTATTCATTCATATTTCAATGTTCAGGGCCATCAACACCGGCAGGCTATCAGAGGGGAGCGCAATAGAACTTTTGTTTGGGGTCATATAATACACTCTACTTTTCCCAACTACAAAATGCAGCCGGGCACTGAAAGACCCACAGGCAGGGAGGCAGCATGGTACATGCTCTTGTCATGTGAAGCTCTGTCCCCTCTCTTTAGCCGCCGCCCCTCCTGCCCAGCACACACACTCCCGGATGACAGCTCACCACCACTGGCCCTGACTTCACAGACAAAATGCAAAATTCCGTTGGCCTTTCCCACATTATTTTATACAAATAGTGCACCCCTGTGACTTGAATAACTGGTCCTAGGGGGAAAGAATCTCTAAAATATATTGGCAAATTATTTTCTCTGTCATGTGGTAGTTTGTTCAGCCTGCCCCCTACCCCCATCCCGGACCGGTCTGTTCACGGACTGGCCTCTTGATGGCTTCTTTTTCTCTCAAAGGAACAGCACAGATGAAATCATCATGGATTTCAGTGTTCACGGAAAAGGAAAAATGTGAATTTTTAAACAATGCCTCTCTGAGTTTTTAAAATTCTCTTCTCCCCTGCCCCCCCCCCTTTTTTTCATTTTCTGTCTTATTGCTTTTATCTTGCAGAAGTATCTTTAAGAGGTCCATCTGTCAAAGCTTCCCTTCCCTCTCGGGTTTTTTGGGGTTTTTTTCCCCCACACATAAGCCCTCTCAGTTTCTGTAGATACAGTCAGCTTATATCTGACACCTAGTGTGTTCACAGCATTAGAGTCAGGCAATGCACTTTGGGTGGGAAAAGTTAATAAACAGCATTACTTGCAAGCATAAGAGCTGAGGGCAAGGGGAGGAGGGTGAGGCCAGTGTGCTACTAAGTTACAATTACAGTTTGCACAGGTAACAATGCTTTTCTGAATTGGATACCCTGCCCACCTTTGCTGAAGCATCTGCCTGCGAGACTTTCTCTGTTACCATCAATTACACTCTGCTATTATTGTTAAGATTTTGTTGACCTTCCCTAAAGAGTCTAATTTTTTTTTAATTGGGGGATGGTGAAAGAGAATGGGGAAGGAGGGGGAGCATTTGTGTTAATCGTCGCTTAATAAAATACCCTGGAAAGAGAAGACTTATAATCTACCTATTTGGCGTCACATATGCAATACCCAAAGCATTTTGTAGCCCAATTAAGTTTTACAAGAGAGGCTGAACTAGAACTCAAAGTTTCACGACTACAAACAACTTGAGAGTCCCAATAGCTGCATTTAGATAAGAGCAACTCATCATTTGAACTCTCTCTGTATGTGAGTTTGTGTGTGTTCCCTGAATTGACTGTTTGTGAATGTAACTTAAAAATCAGCTTTCTCTTTGGCACAGGTCCTTGTATGGAGGTGCTGAACTGGGTTGTAGAAACACATAATCTATTTGCATGCTCTACTATTAAAAGCTCTACTAACTTGCTTGAATACGTAAAAAGGTACAGATCACAATCTGCATGGAAGTGCCAGTAAGTTGTAAATTCCTGCTCACCATTCTGACTATGAACGTGGAAAGAGCTCAGAAGTAAGAGTGAAAAAGCATTACCTTTCCGGTCCTCTCACCAGCAGACTCTTGTCTCATGTGGTAAGAGCTGTCCAAGTTCCTCTTCATGCTATTGGCACTGAGCAGTTTTATACTGTACTACTTATTTGTACAGTCACACACGGGTACCAGTCAAGCAGAAGAGGGCTGGGGCTTTGTTTGGGATTGGTTAGGAGCAACATGACATCAGCAGATGACTGGTTTTTCCAGTGTGAGACATATTTCATAACTCATTATCTAATGGAAAGCCTTTCTTGGCTGCTGTGACACTACTGGGTGATCACTGAGGCAGTGAAAAACCTCTGACTGACTGGACTCCCTTTTAGAAAAATCCCGGAATCCAACAGCTCTATCTCACTGAGGTTCCAACTTTCAACTTTTCTTTGACCAAACATGCACACACTTCTCATTATATTCGGGCTTGGTTTTATATCTTCACATAAAACATCTGTTACTTCATGAAGTTGCCTCTATTTACAAAGTATTTTATTGTTCCTAAAAGGGAAGAAAAATTCACAGTGCTTTTCAGAGAGATTCTGAGTTTACTTTTTAAAATAAGATAGTTCAGGAAGGGGGAAAAAAAAAAAGGAAATATGTATACCTATATAGGATGATCTCCCCTCCCCTGACTTACACTATTATTTTCCATCTTGACTAACTTAATTTTAAAAAATAAGATATTGTATTGAGAAAAAGAAAAGGAAAATATGTATACTTACAGGCTGATAATCTCCCCTCTGCTGACTTACACTATTATTTTCCATCTTGAAATTGAATGCCTGCTTTATAAATCATTTATCACCAAGAACTTTGGAAATAGTCATTCTCTGCTAGCGAACTTTATGTGTAACCTTCCCAGTCTTTAGAATCCCAGTCTAAGTAGCAAAAAAAAAAAAAAACAAAAAACAAAAAAACACTACATCATTCTTCTTTACCAGAACGTCAAGTCCTATGATTTCTAAATTGTTACAAATATAACATGAGATTAATGAAAAGAAGTGAACGTTTCTTGAAACAGGAGTTAAGTTGGTCAGGGTGTTTAGCGGGAGGGAGAAGGCAGTGTTAGCAAGCCAGGGAAATAACACAAGAGAAAGGACTCCTCAGACAAGAATGCCGGGGAATGGTTGTTTGAAGGAATATAGCTGAAGCCTAAGCTGGGCACTCATGACAAGTTGAATAAAATGTGCAAAATTGGGAGCTAATGAAAGCCATATGACCAGATATGCTGTTTTGTATGCAGGATTTAACATGCATAAAATAAACTTTTCACTGTGCCCACAAGCAAAATATAGAGGCTCTGGCCTCCTGATGTGTAGTTTAAGCAGGTTCCTTTAGGACACCAGAAGTCTGTCTCAGGGGGTCTGTCTTGGCTAAACACAGAGAAGGTGTGGGTGCTGAGCTGTGTATTGGGGTGGGGGGAGTATTCTACGAATGGCATTTGCAGAAATGAACTAGGAAATAAAATCTTTAGGGAATCTGAGAAGGAAAGATAGAAACTGCATCAGTGTTGGTTAACTCCAAAGCTGCCCATCAGTTTCAAACTGGACGGAGCCAGCCCCTCTATAAGAAAGGAACTTCCCCATCCTTTTCGCATGAGCAGTCCAGGACAGCAGTGTCCGGGCCGGGCATCTAAACGCACCCCTCCCCCCAACATGAACGTTGGTGTCCTGGAAATACCACCATGTTTATGAGTTTGGGGGCACAAACCAACCCGGATGAGACCCTGATTCCACTGCTTACTAACCAGATAACATCAGGCCTCAGTGTCTTCATCTATAAAGTGGGATCCACAATACTCCACTGCAGAGTCAAGCACGGTTCTCAGCAAATACTAGGTGATACGATTTCTGAGATGCCCCGGTGCCTCTCTCTGAACATCTGTGTCACAGGAATCTGCGGCACCCCGACCAGAGGAGACACCCTCTCTCGGGTGACTCAGATCGCGTTGGCCACGGATGCCACCGAAGGGCCCACCTGCCTAGGTCAGCCCACCAGCTGTGATGTCATTCTCCACCTGAATCCCCAGCCTCAGAGCTGAGCCACGCTGGAAATGCCTCCTCACTCAGTGGAAATGAGGTGGGAGTGGGAGGGGAAGTTGGCAGGTTAAAATAACTTCTGTCGACTATTCTGGATGGCGGAATGATCTTTTCCGTCCCGGACTCCAGGGCCCAGGGGCGGGGAGCTGGTTCGCCCAGCTCCTGATACGCATCTCCCGTTCCTTCCTCGGCTTGCTTTCTCTTTCACTTCCTGCCCCCCTCCCCCCGCGGCTCCCCGACCCCGGCCCTGCGGTCCCGCTGCTCGGCCTGCTACTGTACCTTGAGCAACACCTGCTGGCAGCTCCCGGGGATCACGCCGGATCGCGGCCGCTGCTCGGGCCCGGCTCGCGGGGCCGGAGTACGGGCCAAGCAGTGCGCAAGCGGCCGCCTCTATTTTTACCCC